TCAAACTCTAAAAATTTCAAACAATGACTCAAACTCTTATTTATTAGATAATTGAAATTAAGTGACAGAGTATGATGATAAATACGAGAATAAGCTTATCTTCTTTCATTTTTTAGCCCCTTTTGAGTGGAAAAAGATTCTTTTGATAGGAATAAAAAATAAGTTTATAAGTTGATATTTATTACCTTCTAACTTTTGCCTTTTGGTTATCTATGCTAGCAACAAACCCAACTTTTGTGAGAAACTGAAATTGACCATTTATGATCAACAAAAGTCTCATCTGATGATGTTCAAATTGTCACTGAATTCTAAGAATTTAATTACACATCACCGTTACATGCAACGGAGATGACTCATTTCCATGTAATATCATTCTTAACCACTTCAAAGATGAGAAATTCTTTCATGAAACGGTACATTGCATTAGCAACATTTTAATTTAATAATGTTGTAATAAATCAATAAGTGTGACCTTACTTATAATAAAAAAGATTTTTTTTATTATCATTATCATTTCCTAATTAATTTATTTTAAGTGGAGGTTATCACACTTAACTGATTTATCGCAACATTAATAAATAGAAATACCATTGATGTAGTATTCTTATTGTACGAACAAATTTCTCAACATGAGAGAACTAACCATTCAAAAAGTCTAACCTAATTATGTTATTTAAAAAATAAGAGACTTTTAAAAAGAGAAAAACCATTCCATATTATATATGCAGGGAGTATTAATATTTTTATATGAGTGGGGAGGCAATTATAAAAAGGTAAAAGTTATTTCATATAATATAGCAAACATTAATATCTTTTTAGTACATCAAAAATTCACTGTTAAGGTTTATTGTGTTTGGAATGAGAAGAATGGCAATAATGGATCAAACAAATAGTGAATTTGAGAATGAATTAATTACTTCTTACTGATTATGTACGCCTGGGGATGGCTGGGTTAAGATGTACTGGATTGGCTTTTGATGCTAATGGAAATGCTTGTTATTTTTCTCAAAATAAAAATACTTACATACCTTGGCGGCCTTTTTTTGACTTATATAAAAAAAGAAAAAAACTGTTTTAAAATTGACGTAGATATTATTGCTCAAACTTATTTAGTACAAAAAGACAATAACTCTTACTAACTTGGTCACCATTCAAATTCCCTTTTTAAATTTTCAAACATTATCCTTTGAATTCTTTAAATTTTATTCTTCTTTTCGTCATTGTGGTTCCCCAAAACTATTGTCAACGTGGTCACCACGTTTTTTGCAAACCTGGAGATTGTCTCTTGGTAACCAAGTCTTATGCGTGGTCACCAAGTTTAAAAAGGCTATATATATCTATACAAGGACAATGGCCCAGACAACATTCATTCAATAAAGATTCACTTTCTCATAGAGTACTACCATTACCTACCATTCAATTCCCTTCTTTAGTTATAGACATCATTATCCTCTACATTCTGGTTCCCCAAAACTATTGTCAACGTGGTCACCA